CTTGGCACTCCTGCTGTCCTGCCAAGCTTCTTCTGCCAGCTACTCCTGTACTGCTCCTGTAATTCGCCGTGTTTTACGAACTGAGAGTTTGGTCAAGGAATGGTGCCCACTGGCAAGTCCGCAAGTGGCAAATGCTTTCAGACATATCTTTTCATATAGAGGTATCGGATTTTGAGTGTGAACTGCAGAGCTTTTTTTACATATCTTTTCAACCGGATTCTCTGACTTTGGGCAGTGAAAAGCAGACGCGCACAGTAATACGAGGCTTGTGCTACAGTAATCTGAAGACTGAAGTTGTCACGGTGCGAGTGTACGATTGCTGTAGCAACAACACGAGTGGATTAGACTCTATTCATCGGTGCTGTAGTAAATCGATCTTGCCCATTCACCGTGGATCGGATGGCTTAAAAACTCCCAAAGTGAAAGTGATGTTTACCTCTGCCTTCCTCTTCAACAGATGATCCAAATTCTTTCAGCTGTCACCGCTCACCCGAGATCGTGCCGCTAGCGCGAGGATCTTCTCCATCGGCACGGTCGATCAGGACACAGATTTAGTTAACACAAATATAATTAACCATGGCTATCTATTTATGTACGGACGAATGATTGGAGAAAACCTCTTTTGGAACTATAACAGCAGGGGAGAGGATGATGAAAACCTGAAAAGTGAACTGTAAGCCCCCTCTGAAAACGGTCTAGCGGAGGATTACGCGACAAATTAGCAGATGATGATTCCACGACGGAAGAGAGACAATCAGAAGAGAGGATCTATTGCTTCTGAGCTCGCCCCACGGCCGATCCAATCGCCGGCTTGAGCTGCATAAACAATTATTGCGACGGCTCGACGTCGATCCGACGGAGGGCATATGGTGTTAGAGATGTATACTCAAGCGTGTATCGATCCCCCAATAATGGTGTAAATTAATTCGCAAGATTAACGAGAATACCAAGCTACCGTATTATTTTACTCCGTGTAGGGCTTCACGGAGAATTTCTTCTGATGCATTCTGATTCTGCCAACAAGTTGGCGATCGATATACTCTCAAGTTCCAACTTGGCAAGCTGCAGATCGTGAATTATATTGGGGCAGGCTGATTCACGGGTTGGGATACATATCTGGTATATCTCTCTCGTGCTGCCCCCACTTGCGTTGGAAAATTGGATCGATCTGGCCCATCATCTCGATCCCAAACGATAAAAATCTGTAGGACCAATGCAGGTAGCTAGCTAGTTTAATGGAACAATAAGCAACCAAAATCAGGTTTTCGAGCAGATAATATAAAATGGCCATGCAAGTGTGGACGGATCGAGGCCTAGCTTCACTGGCACTGTAGGATAACTTTCATGAACATGTCCCTGAAAGTAGAACATTTGGATGCATCCATCCCTGCATGCATGAATCCACGCGTGCTAGTGTGCTACCATGTATCTTTCGTGGCCAAGTTGGGGCTCACGCGTTGTGTACTTGTATCTTTGATAACAACTTTGTGTGTGGTGCTGGTGCGTACGTGCCTCTGCTGTGCAGGAAACGACGACATAGCTGATCGTTAATTTGTTTCGGTTCAGATCGATGGAGGCATACACATGCATGCATGCATAGAGCTGCATCTTATGATCGACTAGATGCACCTAACTTTGATTTCCGGCTCAACTGCTGGACTCAGAGCTAGCTAGCTAGACATCTTTCACCTTTCACCCAATTATTATTCAATTGGTACGCTACTAGAACACGCTGCAACGGAACCTCTGCAGGGTTTCGATCCATCTACAGATGCATGAAGGCAACGTCTAGCTAGCTTCGTCTAGGCCAGTACGTGCTAAGGGCAGGGGGGCAACGTACGCGTGAGATAGATATATATGATCGACCACAACCTGTTCATTGATCCGATCGATCGATCGACCGATCGCAACGGCGTGCACGGCATCGATCGATCGATCCCATGCATGAATCTTGCCAAGAATATCGCTAGCTGTTCTTCAGTTGTAGCGTTTTGGGAGCACTACACGTAGAAAGAGTAGTAGAAGACGAGAGAGTAATTATCTCAGCTAGCTGCGTAGCTAGTACCCCTGGGAAGAAAACTGCCGCCCCTCCTGCAGACACCGACGCAATGATGCGTGGCCAGCCCGGAGCGATCTCTGATTGTCCCTGCCTCCCTGGGCCTGGAGAGACTCGATCGACGTACGCCTGCACGGACAGATCGGCCGGCGCGCGCCGCGCATTAGTACGCGCGGAGACCGAGAGAGACCGACGACCGATGATCCGCGTGATTGGGCGCGGACAGCGCGGTGGTTGCTGGATTATGCGCCTGAACGCGTGCGCGTGCCAGCAGCCAGCGTCCGTCCGTGCGTCCTGCCGATCCAGGGCGTTCTTCCCGGCTAATCAAATGCATCTGGAAATTTACGGTTAGCGGCCGGTTTTGATCGATCTCGATCGCACAGGACGTATACGCACGACGGGTCTCCTGCATGCGGCTCCATGAGTCCAGGTGGGTTGCGCCTTGCGCGCGCCGCGCGGCGGCTGAAAGGCGACGCTAGCTAGTGGTCCCAATGGCTGACCAGTGGTGATTACGTAGCTGACCAGTGGTGTCCCGGCCGATCCAGGCAATGAGTTCGGCCTTTGGGGTATGATGGGTGTTGCCTTGTTTGCATATGTAGAAGATCGACCGGGGGTAATTGGGCCAAGATGTATGATAGCCCAATTCCCAGTATGAGCGTGATGTAGATAGTCCAAAGGAAAAAAGGTCCTTTACGTTCCTTCACTCTCGGTTGAGTTTCAGTCGAATCCATCAACCGTAAAACCCGTTATAGAGTATCCCGAATTATTAAAACTAGTACAAATTTACTCCCTCGATAGTATTGATAGTAGTTTTAGCTGACATGATATTTATGTGACTTGTTAAATTGGTCTTCGCCCCCGTGATGCCTACGTGGCACTAGAAGTAAAATGAAAAATAAAAACGCCAAATAGATTCACTTGTAAATGGGTACTCCTTCCGTCCCAGTACACTGGATGTTCTAACATAGCTAAGCCAAATTAAGGTTAGGTGAAAATTACCATATAGCCCTAACTGGAGTACTAGTTACTTTGAATAACCACGATGAGTAATCATCGTTACACCTGCTATTCCTGCCACGGTGGAATCATGGATGAGTTGTTCATGATAACCCGGTTAGTAAAATTTGAATCGTACACTGTTGCACCAGCCCCACATTTATGCTCTTGCTAAAACATCAAGCATTGTGGGACAATGGACAGGAGGTAAACGTCAAATATATTGGGATTCATGTGTCACCACCCTCCTCTCTTTCCTATCTTCTCTCCCTGTATGAACTCACGAACTCACGTGGCCACCGACTGCAGATAGCAATAAGAAAGGGGAGGAAAGGCAGCGAGCCAGCGAGCGACGATGGAGAGTGGAGGCAGCGAGTGACGATGGGATCCTCTGTACCCAGTTTTGTTGTTGAAGGATATGAATAAAACTTAGCACATAGTCGAGGACTCAAGGGACAGTAGATGGACCTTTTTCATAGTCCAATTTGATAGGGACAGTTGGGCCAAGATGTAGAATAGCCCAATTCAATTTCCCCTATTGATGCAGGATAGCCCAATTCGATGGAGACAATTGGACCAATATATAGGATAGCCCAATTCCACCTATGCGCAAGAAGTGAGAAAAAAATTGAGTAAAACAAATAATGGCCCATGAAGGTCTCGAACCTGCGACCTTCGCGTTATTAGTACGACGCTCTAACCAGCTGAGCTAATAGGCCAATTCTTTTTATAGCTAGATCTTATCTTTTCATAAAGGGATAAGTCCAATTTACACCTCTTAACCCTTTGTTTTGTCTAAAATACACCCCGAACTTCAAAACGGGGTATTTGACACCCCCAAACTTTCAATACCATGCAATTTACACCCCCAAGCAGTTTATACCCTAGTTTTTAGTTTTTACCAACGTGGCACTTATAAAGTAGACTGCTCAGCATGAAAAAAAAAAAGAGCGTGCACCGCGCGTGTCGCTATCTCCTCGCTTCGTCCTCAACCTCCTTCCCGTGGCTTGATCAATCCACCGAGTTGCACGGTCACTGCTCGCCGAGTGATGCAACATGGAGCCCAGACAAGCGCAATCAGACTTTTGGACTTCGAACTGTCTCTTGTCGCAAGTTAGTATCATCAGTGATTCAGTGGCAAGCTAGTACTGTGTGCTGCTAGCTACTCATCTTTGTAGTCATGAGCATGACAAGCCCCAGGCTCAGCTTTTCGGCTTCCACGTCTCCGAGGAGGCGACGGTGGACCAGCACGAGCACGAGCACGAGCAGGAGCAGTACTCGGATCAGCACGAGCAGCGGAGCAGTAGTATTCGGCTGAGCCAGAGAATGTGCTGGTCTGCAGGCTGCAGCAATGGATGCAGAGATCGCAGAGGAGGAGCGAGGCAGCCGGCGACGGCGGAACTAGCTCTCGGACGCCGGTCGGGCTGACCGCGTAGTCTCATGAAGGCGAGCCGGCTGCTCGCCGAGTGGAGCTCACGAGGTCTCGAGCTCGCTTCCGCCAAGCTCGGCGGATGGGTGCGCCACCTCGCGGTAGTCATGGCGCTCGAGCTCCTCCCCGCGAGTGCGTCTCCGATGTCTTCGCTCCACTCAGAGCTGCTTGTTTCCCACGACGTCGCCTTCACCGGAGCACGCCGCCTGGCCGCCTGTACTGCCGCCACCACTGCGTCTGATCTGCAGCTTCATCGGGGACGAGGTGGGGCCGTCGCAGTGAACCATGCCGGAGGGAAGAGAGAGAGTGTGTGGGGGAGAAAGGGGAGGAGGAAGAAGAAGGACCGGACTGACATGTGGGGCCCGCTAATCTATACAGCTGGCATCCAATGTGGCATCATAGTGTGTAAAAACCAGGCAGAAAACCGCTCAGGGGGATCTTCTGCACGGTATTAACAGTTGGAGGGGGTCAAATGTCCGGTTGTAGAGATAAGGGGTGTGTTTTAGACAAACTGATAAGTTCAGGGGTGTAAATGGACTTATCCCTTTCATAAATGGTTAGTTACACTACCAATGGGGTTATTCAGAACTATCAAGGTCCACCCTTTCCAAACTACAAAACATCCAAAAGCGACGAACAGGAAAACCAGAAGAGAATATATCAAGCTATAATGTCTGTAGACAAGAACCGATACTTTCAACACACCCCTCACTTTTTTGAAAGAAAGAAAAGAAAACAGTACACAACAAAAACATATCTTCTGAGCTTCTCTCGCGAAGATAAACACTCGTAGAGTTGCAGAATCAGTTCATGCAGGTACCAGAATTCAGTTCATTCAAGTGCTCTTCGACGGCGCTGGGTACTTGACGGCGTTCTTGACGATCTTCCTGGTGGCGGCGTCGCCGAGGTCGACGCCGCACATGTCGGAGAGCCGGATCAGGTAGAGCAGCACGTCGGAGAGCTCCTCGCCGAGGTGCTCCTTCTCCGACTCCTTCCACCCGGGCAGGCCCTTGGCCACCTCCCCTTTCCACATGAACAGCTCCGACAGCTCCCCGACCTCAGCGATCTGTCAACAAACGATACTGTCAGACGAAATCAGAGCATGACATGAAGAGAAAAGGCTCTTCATGTCTCATGTCTGCATCTTTTTTTTTTCCTTTTCTCTCTTCAGATGACAAAACGGCGCAACGCCGAATGCATTTTTCAGCCAAAGAAAATCGTTCACATGCCTTTTACATGGAATCTGGAACGGAATGTTAGGCTATCAAACATCACCGATCACGACGTCTGCCTAAGCATTTCTTCTCCTTTTAGAATCCAGTACGAGCAGTGGAGGGCATCTCATTGCTGGTATGTCGATGCGAAGTAGTAGTAAATTGCATGCTTAATCAGACTTCTTCAGGGACATGTTTCTTTTCGGAAAAGGACAGGCTCGAAAAGATGACGGGTGAATGGCAGTGCTGCTTCAGAAAATTCAGTCAGAGTCGATGGTGATCATTCACTACTCACTAGGCAGGCTGGACCGGCATTGACACGTCAGACTCCAGCATTTTGAGTCGTTCTGACAAGGACATAGGAAATCTGTTCCACAAGGGGGTAGGTTAAACACGTGGCATGAAAGCAGCACCCCGTCCATGGGTTATGAGCAGCTTTAGATATTTGTCATTTCTTGTTCCATTAGCAAACAACATCATCTTTCAGGCAAACAGTATGAGATGCAAGATCAAAGTACAGATAAATTTCAGGTAGGAACATAGGCGAACTTAAGAGTGACCACTAAAAGTAGTTCTTGCCCTTGGGAACGTATGAGGTTTGCAATTCAAAAGGAACAAAACCAGTGATTTTTAGATGGTTTTTCATGACTTTGTTACATATGTGTGGTAGATGGTGATATGTCAAATTTGTGGGTAAAAAATTGAGGGTCGATTCGAAGGGACAAGATGAGCCGTCCACAAACAGTTAGCTGTCTGGAAGGAATAATTTTGATAGATCTCAAGAATCTTAAGTAACACAACTTTGAACAAACAGCTAATGGGAGAGAACAATCATCTTGAACGGTTGGTCAATACTCAAACAGAGAACACATTCTATTATGATAATCTAATCTACACAAAATAATCAATGCAATGATACTCTGGGATAACAAATCGATGATGGTTTTAGAATGAATCAATTTTAAAATAGTCTACCACAGGCTATAATATTCTATTCAAAAGGAATACAATCTAGTTCACTACGTTGTTCATGTGCATGCATTGTTCCAAAGATGCTGAATACTGACTAGCGAGTACAGTGCGACTTGCAGCACTAATCAAGTATCTAACTGCAGTAGCAGCGGGGTACTGTCTGAGACCTGATACTATTATAGTGCACACTTGAGTCATAAAGCAAAATAATCGTAAGGAAATTAGGGGGTGCAGGAAGGCAATGAAATTATCGTGTGACATCTAAAATTTTCCGCAGTTACTATACACGAAACACAATTAATCTCCCTTGTTCATGAAACGCTTCAAATCAAAATAATACTAATCTTAATGACTAATCACTCATCTTCCTATTGCTTCCTACTACTAGTACCCATTTTCTTTTGGTTATGGGGCGGGTGCAACTTCCACAAACACTAGCAATTCTTTAGATCCGTGTGATTTTCAAGACTGCAACTAATGAAGGAAAAACAGAGGAAAAAGCTTAGCAATTCCAGTGATAGCAAACAAAAAAGTTTCAAAAAAGAAAAGCAAACAAGAAGATCGAGAGCAAACCATGGCAAGCAGAAGGTTCCTCGGGGCATGGTACATCTCCCAGTCCCTCTCCTTGGCGAAGTCATCGAGCTTCTTGGACAGCTCCTTCAGGCTCACGTCAGAAGCCGCCGCCTCCTCCTTCTTCGTCTCCTCCTCCACCCCTCTCACCTCCTCCACGGTCGTCGCCTTCTTCTCGACCTCCATCTCTCCTTGAGCAAAGAAGAAGAATCGCCTCAACACCTGCCAATCAAGCCGGTACCTTTCTCTCTTGGTGGCTTGGAAAAAGTTAGAGCTAGAGGCGTATTTATATCCATCGAGAGGGATGCAGCAAAGTTAGCAGGTAATTAAACAAATTGGAAAGTGTTAATGGACGTAGTAAAGGCGATGCAAGTGTGCCCATATATATTTCCCTGCAAACCTGGTGCTCGAGAAGCGCCAGAGCAGAAGGGATGCAATTACCACTCACCTGGATTGCATCAAAAGTCAGTATTATCTATTTACAGAGTACTACGTTTTAGCAACAAGATTTCAGAGGATTTGTGGTGAGATGAAGAGCTGCCAAATTTGGGCGGGATGCGACGAGGTGTAAAGCGCTCGTCGCGATCGGCTCGGTTCTCTAGCCAATTTGAGGAGGTTCCCCAGAGAGATGCCGCAAGGTGGTGTCTCCTCTGTTCCTCGCACGCAACATGAGGTCATGAGCTCAATGATGATCTGAAAGATTGAGTTTTGAGTCTGAACTCTGAACTCTGAATCCGAATAAACTCTGCTTGTTTCAACTCTGTTCCACTGTACTTGCGGGCCGGTTCAGCATTTCAACCTTTAGGCCCAACAGAAATCAGCATGGAGAGTCCAAAAGAAGCCCAAAATCTCCACTCAGCCCTCCCATGGGCCGTGGCCCAGTCCACCACCCCTACAAAACCTCCGCAACAGCTCTAACCTAAATCGGACGGACAGGAATCCCTCGCCACGAGATCCACCGGCTCACGCAGATCCGCCCCCTCCGCTATATAGACCCACCACATCTGAACCCTCCTCTCCTCTAGCCGCACTGCGCGCCTCCCCTCCCCTCGTCTCGCCGCCGCTTCGTCGCCGCCGCCGCAGCATCAGCCGCCTCCTCCCCGCGGAAATGGTAGGGAGCTGTCGCGAAATCTTGCCCGTCGTCTCGTCGGTATGTGCTGATGCGCGCGTTGTTACTGTGCTTGTGCTGTGCAGCCGTTCAAGAGGTTCGTGGAGATCGGGCGGGTGGCCCTGGTGAACTACGGCAAGGACTACGGCCGCCTCGTCGTCATTGTCGATGTCGTCGACCAGAACAGGGTGAGTTAGATCTGTCTCCCTCACCCTGGTTGTTGCTGATACGCCTGTGCTGATGTGTGGATATGAGTTCAGTTCCTGAGTTACTCTTGGGCTGCATAGTTTCGAGCGCAATCTTTGCCTGGACTTAGGATTTATCTGTTAAGTGATCGAGCCTTATGCTTTTAGCTCCTTATTACATTCGGTGGTTAGCATTGTGTGTTGAAATGATTGGTAATATAGGATACCGTGAAGCCGTGCTAGCTCATGCATTGGCTATCCCAATGGCAGTTTTGCATTGGATATCCCAATGTGCTAGCTCTTTTTAGCCGTGCTTGGATCTTTTTAGCAATTTGGTGTTAGGCTTGATCATAAATCCCCTTCTTTTCCTTGGGCACTGCCTCCTAGTAACATCTACGATGACCTTTTTATTGAGCGACAATCGGAACCTTGTGAATGGAAAAAGTGTGCTTGGATTGTTTTCCTTCCACCAGTTCTACTAAAACAGTAGCTCATGTGTCAATATCTTTTTGCTCCAGCTTGATTTATGTTGTGAAATTTAGCTCACAAAGGTTTCTGGAATGTTTTATTGTGGTTTGTAATGATTTTCTGATGTTAATTTGGTGATGATACATGGTATTGGTAGATTATTTCAAATCAGTTCACATGGCAATTTTTTAGTTCTTGCCCTTGGCAAGATTTCCTTTAGTAAGGATGATGCTTTTATGTTCCGTTGTGAAGTTTTATGCTGCGTATTTGGATTATAATTTATTCTGTATACAAATTGGTCTATAAAAATATGGATTGATTATGTTTAATTAATATGCCCACTATCTGTCCCCACAGAAACTACTATTAGTCACTTCTCAATATGACCTCTCTATGTGGTATCAACATAAACTTTGTTACCTCATAGTATGAGTAATTAAATCAATGCCACAGTATGAGTTTTCCATTGATTCTAGCTGTTTCCACTTCATCTCTAGACTTGCTCATTATAAATTTATTACTTTATGTTTTGAGATTTTAAGTGCTATATGCCTTTGCTTTTTGTGATTTCAGGCACTTGTGGATGCCCCTGATATGGTCCGCTGCCAGATAAACTTCAAGCGGCTTTCTCTGACTGACATTAAGATTGACATCAAGCGTGTCCCTAAGAAGACCACCTTGATTAAGGCAATGGAGGAAGCTGGTGATGAACCATTCTTCGGCTATGAACTTTTTTTCCACTGTTAAGTGCAGTTTTAATTGAATGCCATCCTGATTACAGATGTGAAGAACAAGTGGGAGAACAGCTCATGGGGTAAGAAACTGATTGTCCAGAAGAGGAGAGCATCCCTCAACGACTTTGACAGGTTCAAGGTTATGTTGGCGAAGATCAAGGTGATACTCCGCTCTACACTCTCGAATAGTACCTTTATTGAAGGTTTTGTTCATACACCCTCTAATACTCTGATTGGCATATGAACAGCGTGGCGGCGCTATCAGACAGGAGCTTGCTAAGCTTAAGAAGGAGGCTGCTGCGTAGATCATTTTGGTGGTGATCAGTTGAGATTTTGATCAATGATGTTTGATGTCCCTAAATATGAAACATTGTGCCAGCCACTGTTATTGGGATCTCATGAAAAATTTAAGTTTTGAACTCCTGTGTTTAGACCTTGTGCCACAAATTCTATTCAGAATCTAAGATAGTATGCCATATGTTGTGTGAATTCTTTCGTCGTGGCTGACCATGGTGTTAGATGTTCCAATTCCCCATCATTACGAAAATTCATCCTAAGCGTTTACCACAATGCCACTGTTATTGTGCTCTTTTCCAATGCCTTTTCCAGTTTCCACAACATAATTTCCCAAAAAAATGCACTGTAATATTTCTGTAAAAACGTAAGCCTGACTATATGCTAAAGCACTGTGATGTTTTTATATAAAAAAACATAAGCCTGACTATATGCTATGATTGAATCGGGAAAGGCTAGGCCGTCGCGTATACGTAGCTAGCCGACTTTAACTGGGTATCGAAGATGTAGTCCATCAGCTATAAACAAAACTGAAACCAAGATGGAGTCCACCAGCCATAAACAAGGTAGTAACAAACTCCGTCCGATAAATCATAGTACGTACTACTACACCCAATAATTTCTGTGCGTAATCTATCGGCGCCTGCTGCAAATTTATCCGTCTTTCATAGTTGCGTGTCTTGCACCCCAGCAATCTGCCATGACGTCGGACCAGGATGCAGAGACATCGATCTTGCGGGCTTCGACGGACTCGACGACGGCGGCCCGACCCCGCCGCCCACCGTCTCCCCAGCGTTCAACCTCACGCTCCTCGCTTCCGGCGACCGGCCGGCCAGCCGGCTGACGGCGGCGTGGGAAGGGATCTGCCAAGAGCGCGGGACGGTGGCCGTCTCCTACGCCGGCGCGGTGCTCGCCTGGGGCCGCGTGCCCGGGTTCTGCGTGGGCAAGCACGAGGACGCGCTCGTGAGGATGGTCGCCGTCGGCATCGAGGTGGGGCTCTCCGACGAGCTGCGCCACCGCATGGCGTCGGAGCGGCGGTCGCGGGCTGCGGAGCTTGACGTCGATCTCGTGCTTGAGCGCCGCAGCATGAAGGACGACAAAAGGTTGCTGTCGTGTCGGGTCAAGCTGGATGAGCCGCCGCCGTCGTCGCAGCCTTCGCCTTGTAGGGTGATCGTGCTATAGTATATGATTATCATCGACGAGTAATCACGTCCATGTTTTAATTTGCACGCATGCCTTTTGATTCAATGACTTCAAGTATGTGTTTCTCATTGTTGGACAGCTATAAGTCAACAACCATGTTATTTTTGCGAGTTTTTTTTTTACCGTCCATCATAACTGTGGGTATCTCCCTGTACTTATAATCAGAGCCATCCATTGAGCCAGATCTAACGGATGAGAATCCTCGGTACTGCCAGATCTATAGAGACATCGTGACCACTCTCCTCTAGGCTCTAATCCTCGAGATGTAGCTCATGGATGAACTCCTTCGCCGAGGCTGATGAGCAAGGACCTCCTGGACAAGCTCCTTCGCCACCGAGCTTAGACAAGCTCATCAGCCGCTGAGTCGACGAGCTCCTTTGTCGAACCGAGGGGAGGCGAAGCTCCTGGCAACAGCGGTGGGTGAGGATGCGAGCAGCGCGCAGGAGGGTGATATCGTCCACTAGTATTCCTGGTATTAGAATTGCATTAGTATAGTTTGTTTATGTTGTGAGCAAGGTTAATCCCATCATATAATCTGCTCCCATTCTTTTGGATTCAAGTGTTTTGCATTGGAAAAACGGAGTTATAAGTTTGAGAGCAACTCCAACTAGGGAACGTCATACCATTCAATTGACGATATGGTTCATGTTTTTGCCTTTTTGGCCCGATACCGCTTTCTCTATGTGAGTCGTCACAGTCCCGCCCATCATGGAAGATGATGATTGTGGCCCCTCTCTTCTCCACTACATATGGTGTGGGGTTGTGACACACGGTCGGTGTGAAAAACGGTGAAGGAGGGCGTTGAGGAAAGGAGAAAGAGGAGGGGATTGGGCCATAACACATGCGAAGGAAGGTGTCGAGGGAGTGGGGAATAGGAGGGGATTAGACTAGAGCACCGCCAGTGTGGACTCTGGATGAGATGGAGAAGGGATTTTTTTTTTGGCTGGGAAGACAGAAAGTTATAAGAAAAAAACGATAGAAGCTGTCGAGGTCGGAACTGCACGACCAAAAACCATGTGCTAACTACACAAGCATAAACCACTAAGAGAAGAACCTAGCACCAAAACGACTCCCTCTATGCATGGCCGATCGTCGCCGGGCCTACGACAACATTGGAAAGACGAGACTATGAAAACGGTGCCCCCACAAAGGTCACGGCATCAAGGACGCACCAAAAGAAACTCGCTAAGAAAGAGAGATATCCTTTGAGAAGGGAGATTTTCGTGGAGCACATTGTTGATAACTCATGAGTTGATAACTCTAGGAGCCTGCTTAACATCGATGTTTCTTTCTTCTTTATTTTACATATATCAACAAATTTGTCGAGTTGATAACTCTAGGTGTGATTGTGGTATATCCCTAAGGTTAGAGTTTCCCCTTAGGCTAGAGTGCTAGACAACACATCACTTTGTACATAATATATACCCTAAGCTAATGAAGATTAGATCGAGGCGAATCAACATAAAGCTCTATCGAAATCTTAAGAAAAAGAAGATTCTTCCGTGTGAGTTGTTCTTCAATTCAATCCCTGATCACTCTCCTGATACCGTCAGATTGGTCCTTGAGTATGTGTCCAGTGCAAGGGATTGGCGAGGCTGCACCGCCGACAAGGCTCGGGGTGCACCTCACGTACCAGCCGTAGTTGAGAGAGATGAGGCGAACCTCCAATTTCACGTCGCCCTCGTCGCGCTTCTCGGTAGCCATGAGCGCGGCCAGCTCCGGAGGGAGACCGACGCCCCCGCTCGCCGCGTGTATGGCCCCGCGCCAAGCGCCGCCGGGCGGCACGCAGCGACCCTCCGCGAGGCCGGTGGCGAGCGGGACGCCGTCGTAGAGGACGGCCGCTTCGCCGCCCACGCACACGTCGAACGTGCTGCCGCGGGGGTTGTCGACGCTCAGCGAGAGGTTGAACGCCCTAGGGACGCGGGCGGCGGCGCCGTCGAGGCCGGAGAATCCACGACGACGGATGTCTCCGGTCTCGGAGGAGGGGTGAAGTCCGCGAAGAGTAACTGCTGGATGATCAACACCACGGGCAGGACGAGGAAGATCGCGGTGACGGCGCCGGCGACCAAGCAACCGGCCATAGGATTTTGGCGGCGTGGCAAAAGCTTCTCGTCGTCCCTCGTGCAGGGTAAGAGGTTTTCTTCCATGGTCGCCGATCAGTCGGCGTGGCGCACGTTGATTAGGTGCAGGCTGTGAGATTCGGCCGTCGCCTACAACGCGGCGTGAGGAAAACAGCGCACCTAATAAAAGTAAGAGTTTGAATCGGAGATCTGTTTGAGTCGATTCGATCTTTAAATTGGTCTTAATCACTATATGGCCATTTGAGCCATCTGCCACAGGAAGTCGATCTTGATAGAGGCCCAACGATTATCATGGGTCGAACGTCACCCTGAGCTAGCAGTCCAAGTAGTGCACGCTATAATCTTTACTGCCTTCAAAAAGCGGAATCGTGGCCTCTTCCTTTTTCACCATCGTAGTCCCCTCACATAAAAAACGTCTAAAAAAATCACCCTACCCAAAACTTGGTATCTCCATGCAAAAATCAACCAAAAAAGAGCAGGTACGTAGGAGAAAAAAAAACTAAACCCTATAATTCTAATCCGGTTGTAACGTACATGCAAGAACACTACTTCCTCCGTTTCACAATGTAAGTCATTCTAGCATTTCTCACATTCATATTGATGTATTTAGATATATATGCTAGATTGACTTACATTGTGAAACGGAGGGAGTAGTATTTAAGAAAAAGTTCATTTTCGCCTTCCTCAAGTATATATATCCCCAATTTTCGTCTCTTAGAAGCAAAATCAGATGGGAGGATTTTCTCCCCTATCAAAATTGGTTCGCTTTGCTTTTTCGAGTGGCTTCGACGGTGGTTCCATCCTATACAGCGCCTATGTGGCACGTAGATAGGTCTTCATACGACGTAACATCTACGTGATGTTTACATATCATTACAATAAAAAAAATACATTGCCCCCACATATTGTTCAATATTTTCATCGTCCTTTTTTTCCCTCTCTATTATGTTTCCAAACAAACACGGAGATCGGAGAGTAAGATTGGTTGATTGGCTCTGATGGTGAGCAGTGGTGACGACGGACAACGGCGCAGCCAAATGATGCAAAGGCACACTGATTAGCATCTTGGTGGGGCCATTGCGTGGAACATGGGTGATGCTCGGTGATGACTTACATAAACCGAGAGGGAGAAGTGGCGGCTTAAAGCTCATAGGTTGTTGGCGCGGTCTCCGGCGAAGGTTGTGGCATGGTTCGATCTCTAAAGGTCAGCAATAGTGGCAGTTAGCGCAGTGGGTGGTGACAAGCTCTACTTTATGAGTGGCGAAGTACGACAACAATTTATGGCTTTGGAGAAAGAGAAGAAAGGGTGGATGCGGCGGAGCACGCCCGGATTCGTTGGCGATGATTGTGGCCATGAAGTTAAGGATGAAGCATATCGGTGCAAAGCTAGGGTGGACCATGGACGATGCTGCCAGCTCAGGTACACATAGCCCTTCGATCTCTGCCACCACAATCTTGGCCTCCTCACACGCCTCCAAGGAGTTGTGATTGAGCCCATTGAAGACAATTGCCTGGCCTACACCCCTCACCTTCTTCCTCTCTCCACTGCTCGAAGCTTCTCCATTCACCGTTACCTCTCCACTAGAGCTCAGCCTCACCTTGCTATCACAATCGTTAGCTTCAGAAACTCTCCTTTAGCATCGTCTTCACCAACCTTGAAGACCCCTGGAGCCAGGTCCGTCCATAAGGGCACACCAAGTGAGCGACCGAACAGGGTCTCCAAAAATTACAAGAGAGTTGATGGTCATTGCCTTCTTTTAAAGGAGTATAGATTAGGCTCTAAAACTATATCCCTTCCATCTATACTAGCTATTTGTCAGCTTCGCGCTGCACAATTCTTAGGGCATGTTCACTTTGATACCATTTTCAAGCATACTATTTTTTAGCAAAGTTGTAAAAAAAATGTCTACG